TTTGGAATTAAATATTAAGGCCAACATTTTGAAGGGTCCACTCATTTTGAGAGCTGAACTTGTGATGCATTGGGCCTGATTTTCAGAGATGTTGAGTACATCCCCAAAGCATCTCTTATCTCACTCTGATACATCTCTTATCACACATAGGCAGCAAGTCAGTCACCCTCCTCCCTAGTGCAGGAAGACAACCACATCAGCTGCTGTTTCTGGTGCATAGAGTTGGTAGTTATGGCTGCTGTGGGTAAGCAGGGGACATTGCTGGGCCTCTCCTATGGACAAGTTCCATAGAATTCAGCAGGGATGAAACCAATAGGTTCTATAGAAACTTAATCATATCAGAAATGACTTTAAAATGCCATAGAATTTAAGAGAGACTGAAATCCTTTCAATACTTTTTTTGGGGCAACTTCATAGAATTCTACAGCCAGGTTTAATGCTTCTATGACATTCTGTAGGAGAGCTCAGAAAGATTACCATTTCCAATCAACTGCTATAGGAACCTTTCCACAAAGACCAGGGATCCAAAATGTTTCTTTTCCCAAGCACATCACAAAAGATTGGACTTTAAAGCTTGGTCTTCATTTTTTAAATGATGTCTTCAACATTTTTGTTATTAATTGTTCATTAATAAAAATTCAATCATTTCACACATCTTAAAGTTAATATTGAGCTGCAATGGTTCATTGATCCCTTGCTTTCAGTGGGAATCTCTGTACACAGTGTCAGTCTGTATTCAATATAGTGTACAATATCACAGTATGATCCTTGGTCATACATGCAGCATAAGAACACGATAGAGCAAATTAAATGACTTTATTATCCTGTCCTCCCACTCCCCACCCCACAGTCTATTTTCTCCATTTAATTTCAGTAGACCATTGTAAGTTCTCTTGAACATGGAAACAGGAAATTTTTGTGGGGTGAAATTCTGACCTCATTGATGTCAACAAGAGTTTTTAAATTTAAGGGCTATTATTTAACCTATGTTATTTGTAGGAGAATGGGACTCAAAGAGCCTTTTTGACTTTGGTGGGGGTGGGAATGAAAGTATAGATACAAATATTAACATTTTTATACATTTTGTGAAACTACTGGGAAATTTTACATGGTTATAAGAACAACAATTTTGAAAATAATAGTAAATTGGATGTCACAAACAAACAACAATCATTCTGATTATGTTCTTGCTTCCTATCTTGTCCTCCCTATCTCTTTCCCCTAAATTCCACTATAATTTTAACAATATTCTCACAGACTCCTGGGACCAAACTTTCATTGTGCCCTCATGGAAATGTCCTAAAAATAGAATAAGGCCCTCTGAATAGAAAAATATCTTTGAATATTGAATAGAAAAAAGTAACTTTTCTTATCAGTATTTTTGGACCATCATTCTATAGAATTTATAGTAAAATATATCCTTGCTATTATAATAAATATTAATAATATGTAGTTCTTATACAATGCTTAAAAATCTATAACATGATGAAAAATTTGAAAGGTATTTCCTATTGAAGTTATTAGATTTTTTCAGCCATTTCTGTACAAACCTATTGCTTTCATCCCTATAAATTTGGTGGGACTTTACATAACCAGGCTTCTCATTTTTGGTGATGCAAATAATGGCAGGTAGGACTATTAAGGCTATGTCTACACATATTTAGTGAATAGCGATGCTGGAGTCAATGTAGCTTAGGTCTACTTATTGCCGTGTCTACACCACACTGGGTCGACGGGAGACACTCTTCCGTTGACTTACCTTACTCTTCTCATTCTGGGTGGGTACTGGGGTTGACCAGAGAGTGCTCTGCTGTCGATTTCGTGGATCTTCACTAGACCCGCTAAATTGATCCCTGGTGCATCAATCACCAGGGCGTCAATCTGGCAGTAGTGTAGACATAGCCCAAACCACAGGGGGATCAGATAGTGACTTTTTTCATGGTCCCTTTTCAGCATAGAACTGCACTTTAAACTACTGAAGCAGAGATGTGATGTAAAGGAATTGGGTATGGTTAGCACTAGTCTTCTGTCTCCAGTTTATCTATTAACTATAATCCTTCTTACTGTTGATGTTTGTGCCTATTTCTAGAAAATTGAAAACATAGCACTATTTCACAAAATTATATGGTGTTTCCCTTTAAGAAATAAAATATATTAATTGTATCGATAAATGTTTTTTTCTAGACCTACAATTTAGCAGCAGAAATTATAAAACTGAATTAGTGAATAAATCAAAGAAAATATTTATTTACAGACATGTAGAGATATGTTACAGCATTTTTAAACAAAAAAGGGTTGCGAACCATTACACAGGTGTAAATGGGCAAAATGTTGAACACTTAACTTTAGTTACTTTTCAGTATTGTCTATTAAAAATACCACTGCTTGGTTGGAGCTATCTACATAGTTTTAGTACGATTATTTTTTCAGAACCAAGTAATATACTATGATTGTACACAAAAAAACCCCAGCAATGGTACTTAATACAAGAATTTACAAGAGTAAAAATCTTTTCCTCCGGATCAAGCTGTAAAACTAACATTCAGCAAATCTTTTCCATTCATGCAACTGCACAGATTGAAATAGCAATCTTAGACAAATTGAGGTTGGGAGCCTATGTAGAAAATGATTTTAATATCCTAATCTAGGATGGTGTATAAATAAATTGAGAAAGCTGAATATTCACTAGCCAAATTGATTTTGACTCACAATGTTATACAACAAAAGTAGGTACTGCGACTTCACTCACCCCCAGGTCCCAGAAATGATCACTGGATGTAACTGTGGCTCTAGAGAACTACAACTACAAATGTCTCTTTCTGGCTATAATATCATTTTAAATGTTTAAAAATGATGGTTTCTGGTACTCAGTTCATTCCCAGGGTAAAGTGATGCTGAGGCTGAATATTATAGCTCTGATTCTAATTTACACTGTGGTCCCTGGGCAGCTGACAGTGTAAAGATTCCATAAAATGTTTGTAAATTACATTTACACTGCCACAGTGGTGTAAAGGGGCATTAGTATAAATGGGAATTAGGTCCTAAACACTTACTGGTTTAAACACTTACTGTGCTGCAAAGAATACGTAACACAAAAAAGCTAGTAAGCCAAGTGTATGTGACAATGGCAAGCAACTGTATACTGTGTGTGTGACAGCCAATAAAGCATCAAGGCTTATTTAAAATACCACAATGGCAAGCAACTGTACACTGTATGTTTGACAGCCAATAAAGCATCAAGGCTTATTTAAAATACCAGCATCTCTTCAATGATTTGAATCTAATATGCCATTAAGAAAGTTAGGAGAATATATTATACAGTACAGCAAACCCATAGCTTTCAAATGTAATAGTATCAATAGACCTCATCTTAGATGTTATTGTGCCAGAAAAAGTATACTTTCAGGAATAACATCGCTGTGTGGAACAGTGTTGTCTGTTGAGACTGCGAAATCATTCCTATAAACACCAAAAACAGATGATGGCGCATTAAGGAATAATGTAAAATCCTGGTGTGGTATTTTACAGTTCAGAGTACCCACTTAATCATGGTTTTGTTGGTGCTGAGCAGGTTCAGGGATTGCTCATTCAAACCATCTGTAATACAGAATTACAAATTATTTTAACTACTAGCCACAGTTCCCATAATTGATCTACTAAGAGGACATTCTCCATGATTTCAAAAAGTATTCAGCTCATATCTTTTAAGCTCTTACTCACTCCTTACTGAGGCAAAACTCCCACTGAATAAATAGGATTTGGATTTATTATTTATTTTTACTGTAAATCAAATAAGAACCATGGACATTGTTATTAATTTTTGCCGCTATAAAATGGGCATAAGATGGAATAGTTCTCTCCAGTTTTTAGTAAGTTTAGAGAACAACAACAAAAAGGACAATTATATCTTTAAAATACTTCCCTGAGGTATTTCAGTGATTACTAGACTACTGGTGTTATTTGGGTTAATATTAGTGATTATAACATTTTGTTTGGGTTTGCTGTGATTGTAATATAAAATGGGCCCTAGTCTGCATCCCTTATGTTGAGCAATAGTTACTCATAGTATCGTTCTCATTAAAGTAAATAGGCAAAACTCTGCTTTCAGTTAAACTGGTATAACTCCACTGATTTCAGTGGAATTATCCTGAATTTACACCAGTATAATTGAGAGCCAAAACGTCTTGTTTTCTCTATTCTCCTATTGACTTAAGTTCTCCACACAGTCAAGTGGAGCCTGGTGCATACTCTCCCTCACATATATTTAAAGGGTATCTCTCCTTTTTTATAACTGGCCCTTACCTAAAGCCAGTCTGGATACAGTCTTTGGGTCTTCTCCCATTTTCTTCACTGTGAGGTCACCATCAATTACTCTCCACCTCTCCATCACATGCAGCCAGTATCATCAGGTCTAGTCCAAAGCTCATTGAACTATAATGGGAGTCTTTCCATTGACTTCAGTATGCTTTGGATCAGGTCCCATGGAGAATGGTTGAAAGGACAGGACATAAAGTCATCTTTAGAAATGCTGTCAGTTTTGTTCAATGAAACATCAGGTACTGCAGGACAAACATGGTAGTGCAAGTCACATCTCTGTAGTTCAGTATCTTGAAACATACTGCAGCAGACCTCCACTTAATTGGATGAGATCTCTTTCCTGGCAACATGTTCTAAATGTGGCTACTTCTAAGCAATCCAGCCAGTAAGACTTTCCTTCTTAACTCTAGATATGCCTCATGACTCAACCTCAAGACCTGCCTCTCTCTTGCATAAAATGTTTTCTATCTGAGTGTATCTCGTATAAAGATGTTGACACTTCTTCCCTGTTATGAGTGTCTTCTGAACTGGTTCTCTGGAACCGTGAACAGTCCTATCATGAGAACTGAGATACACTGAGAACAAATTGGCACTTTCTTTCAAGAAGAAGCAGTCACACCAGTGGCTAATATAGCTTAAGTGTATTAAAACACATTTGAGTATCACATAAGAGAAATAATGAATCAATTTTGTTTGAAAAGAAACATGATTTATTAAGAAATTATATACTGAATTCCCCTACAGCCTCTGTGAGAATGGATTATTCCAACTTCAAGCATGTGGAGAATGCTTGAGAGATTGGGGAATGGAACGATCCTATTGACTGAAAGTGAAACAAAACAATTGATAATCTACTGTAAGGTTTCAAATATTGGCAATATATAAAACATTCACCTGTCTGGAATACAGTTTGGATAGAACATTCACTGGCATGTAAACTTTTCCATAAGGTAACAACAAACTGCTTTGAGATAGTAACAGATACAGATGAAATAACTGTGCTAATCTATGGCATCACAGAGAGTGCTTGTTTGAAAAAAAAAAAGGGATTAATAAGTGGGTCTAATTTATACTTTATCAATTGATCTGATATTTGACATATTTGCACTTTTTAGAGATTACAGTGAAATAGTGCATGAACAGAGCAGAACTATTACTTTGCCTTTCAATATTATCCCTACTAGTAAACATAATTATTTTGAACTATGAATATAATGAAAAGTAATGAAAAATACCACACAACATGACTGATCATATGTCTGTGATCATAACATGACTGTGTTTGAATTAAGCTATAAACATAGAAATGCAATATCAACTGACTTTAAATATGCTAAACAGTAAAACATGCTAATCATAAAAATAGCTTTTACAAATATACATTTGTATACAGTGTCTCTCACGCCTGTTAAATATGTCCTTCATATTATTATCATACAGTACCTTGGCCTTTAAGACATCAAAATTAAAAACAAATAATACCAATAATTAGCCAGAGAAAAACACATTTACAATCTAAACCATAAAAATCTGACAGTTGTACAGCTTAGAACATATAAGAAATGAAATTTCTAAGGTTTGAACAATAATGTCCATTTTAATAAGTAAAGTGAGTTTTCATACAAATTGAATCAAAGGTGTTGCTAGCCAGTAAGAAACCGCAGTTCACATTTCTGTGGGGGAGTGGAAAGGGAAAGTCACAGTTTCTCTTCTCAGCCTCCAAGGGGCTCACACATGACACCTCATCACTTGATCTGTAGAAACTGAAAAATGAAACATTTGCTTTAATGTGAAAACATGGGCTTTGTTTCAGCAGCACATGGAAAAGGCGTCAGAATAAACTGCAGGGGAAAGGGAACAGGGCAGCTTTATTTGGTCAAATCAGCTTTATTTATTTATTTGCATGGTCAAATCACTCAGTGCAAGCATCTGACATTGACACTAAATTAATTATGTTTTTAAGCTAAAAGGAATGTCATGTAACTGCTACAATGGACGGCCAATACCATAAATACCCCTAAATTAGAATGCATTGCCCAGAATTAACTACACTGATTCAAGTCACAACCCAGCTCTTTGGTGAAGTACACCTCTCTTCAGTAGTTTAAATTTGTAACAACAGGGAAAGAAAGAATGTATCTCAGCTACTTTGTGAGATAACGTAGAATACGTTGACCTGCATAATTACATGTATTCTAAATACACTGCATATGGCTCTCTATATTTTGGGTTTCATAACACTATTCTCCTATCTTTTTCCAAACTACTACGTGCCACAAGGGGCCACAGCAATGGTTCCCTCAACCCACCCAGCAATATTGTTAACCTATCCAACTATACTCTTAGCCCAGCAGAAGCAGCTGTCCTATCTCGGGGCCTCTCCTTCTGCCCCTCCACCCCCACGAACATGGTACAGTTCTGTGGTGACCTAGAATCCTATTTTCGATGTCTCCGACTCAAGGAATATTTCCAACACATCTCTGAACAACATACTAATCCACAGAGACCTCCCTACCAACATTACAAAAAGAAGGATTCTAGGTGGACTCCTCCTGAAGGTCGAGACAGCAGACTGGACTTCTACATAGAGTGCTTCCGCCGACGTGCACTGGCTGAAATTGTGGAAAAGCAGCATCACTTGCCCCACAACCTCAGCCGTGCAGAACACAATGCCATCCACAGCCTCAGAAACAACTCTGACATCATAATCAAAAAGGCTGACAAAGGAGGTGCTGTTGTCATCATGAATAGGTCGGAATATGAACAAGAGGCTGCTCGGCAGCTCTCCAACACCACTTTCTACAAGCCATTACCCTCTGATCCCACTGAGAGTTACCAAAAGAAACTATAGCATTTGCTCAAGAAACTCCCTGAAAAAGCACAAGATCAAATCCGCGCAGACACACCCCTGGAACCCCAACCTGGGATATTCTATCTACTACCCAAGATCCATAAACCTGGAAATCCTGGGCGCCCCATCATCTCAGGCATTGGCACCCTGACAGCAGGATTGTCTGGCTATGTAGACTCCCTCCTCAGGCCCTACGCTACCAGCACTCCCAGCTACCTTCGAGACACCACTGACTTCCTGAGGAAACTACAATCCATCGGTGATCTTCCTGATAACACCATCCTGGCCACTATGGATGTAGAATCCCTCTACACCAACATTCCACACAAAGATGGACTACAAGCCGTCAAGAACACTATCCCTGATAATGTCACGGCTAACTTGGTGGCTGAACTTTGTGACTTTGTCCTTACCCATAACTATTTTACATTTGGGAACAATGTATACCTTCAAATCAGCGGCACTTCTATGGGTACCCGCATGGCCCCACAGTATGCCAACATTTTTATGGCTGACTTAGAACAACGCTTCCTCAGCTCTCGTCCCCTAATGCCCCTACTCTACTTGCGCTATATTGATGACATCTTCATCATCTGGACCCATGGAAAAGAAGCCCTTGAGGAATCCCACCATGATTTCAACAATTTCCATCCCACCATCAACCTCAGCCTGGTCCAGTCCACACAAGAGATCCACTTCCTGGACACTACAGTGCTAATAAACGATGGTCACATAAACACCACCCTATACCGGAAACCTACTGACCGCTATTCCTACCTACATGCCTCCAGCTTTCACCCTGACCACACCACACGATCCATTGTCTACAGCCAAGCTCTGTGATACAACCGCATTTGCTCCAACCCCTCAGCCAGAGACAAACACCTACAAGATCTCTATCAAGCATTCTTACAACTACAGTACCCACCTGCGGAAGTGAAGAAACAGATTGATAGAGCCAGAAGAGTTCCCAGAAGTCACCTACTACAGGACAGACCTAACAAAGAAAATAACAGAACGCCACTAGCCATCACCTTCAGCCCCCAACTAAAACCCCTCCAACGCATTATTAAGGATCTACAACCTATCCTGAAGGATGACCCAACACTCTCACGAATCTTGGGAGACAGGCCAGTCCTTGCCTACAGACAGCCCCCCAACCTGAAGCAAATACTCACCAGCAACCACATACTACACAACAGAACCACTAACCCAGGAACCTATCCTTGCAACAAAGCCCGTTGCCAACTATGCCCACATATCTATTCAGGGGACACCATCACAGGGCCTAATAACATCAGGCACACTATCAGAGGCTCGTTCACCTGCACATCCACCAATGTGATATATGCCATCATGTGCCAGCAATGCCCCTCTGCCATATACATTGGTCAAACTGGACAGTCTCTACGTAAAAGAATAAATGGACACAAATCAGATGTCAAGAATTATAACACTCATAAACCAGTCGGAGAACACTTCAATCTCTCTGGTCACGCGATTACAGACAGGAAAGTTGAGATATTACAACAAAAAAACTTCAAAACCAGACTCCAGCGAGAGACTGTTGAATTGGAATTCATTTGCAAATTGGATACATTTAACTTAGGCTTGAATAGAGACTGGGAGTGGCTAAGTCATTATGCAAGGTAACCTATTTCCCGTTGTTTTTTCCTACCCCCTCCCAGACGTTCTTGTTAAACCCTGGATTTGTGCTGGAAATGGCCCACCTTGATTATCATACACATTGTAAGGAGAGTGATCACTTTAGATAAGCTATTACCAGAAGGAGAGTGGGGTGGGGGGGAGAGAAAACCTTTTGTAGTGGTAAACACCCATTTTTTCATGGTTTGTGTGTATAAAAGGATCTTCTATACTTTCCACAGTATGCATCTGTGGAAGTGAGCTGTAGCTCACGAAAGCTTATGCTCAAATAAATTGGTTAGTCTCTAAGGTGCTACAAGTACTCCTTTTCTTTTTGCAAATACAGACTAACATGGCTGTTACTCTGAAACCTGCCATTTATGTTGATCACATGCTTTAACACTGGGGGGCTGAGGAGAGTTCCTGTTATCTGGTTCATGAGTCTTTTCCCAGTTGCTTTCTAATAGTTTTAATATTATTATAGTGTGCATGCAATTAGGCCTGTCCTGTTTATTAAGGATTAGATCTTATTTGTTTTAGTTAAATACCATCACTTTTTGGCTTCTATTGTGGCTTTTTCAGCAATACTGTTTTAGAGTGGGAATGTAGTGGAACTTCCTAAGGGCATTATGCCTGGAGATACCTGCCTCTGCAGACACTAGGGTCTTGGGATAAATACCCACTGAAGGTCATGAGAAGCTTTTCATTGACTTCAGATGGGCATTGGATCAGGCCCTGTGGGAGCACTGAGCCACTAAACAGCTGCAACACCCATTAAAAGTGCACAGCAAGAGCTCCCATCTACAAGGGTTGGAAGATAGAAGTCTCCTCAACTGTGCAGAAAGTTTTGATTAAAACCAAGAATTTTCCATTTTTGTTGAAATTTTCAGCAGAAATTTTTAAGTATTCATTGAAAAGCCAAAAAATCTGAAAATCATCTTTTAAACTTTTTGACAAATAAAATTGAAACCTTTTGACCAAAACCTGAAAAATTTCAGACAAAAAAATGAATATTTTTCAGCCAACTCTGGTTTACAGTGGAAAAGTTTCAGGTTTTGGGGTTTTCTATTGAAAAAATCAAAAGTTTTAAAGAAAAGTAGAGGCTTCCTGCAAACATTTATGTTGTATTGAAAAAAACACAATTTTCTGTTGAAAAGATCAGATGGAATTTTTTTTGACCAGTTCCACTCCCAACAGCACTGGCCCAAGTCTTCTTATAGCTGTGTAGCACTCCGGAGACATTATGCATTTTCACTCCCTCCTTATCCCCAGGGAGCATCAACATTCTGGCTGTACCCAGCACAGGTAGACAGGGCTGTGGTGGAGAGTCCCCATGCCCTCCCATCCTTGTACAAAAGCACCTACCATCTGCTGCTCTGTTTTAAGTGAAAATGATATTTAAAAATATTATTCTCCACACGCATAGAGAAGTTTTTCATATCGCCCTATTTTTAGCACTGTATCCTTAGACAGACTTAACTACATGAAAAGGATTTTCAATCCTCCCCTTAAGTAAGAGAGAGGCCTGATGGTTGTTAAGTAGCTATTCATCTTGTGAGAGGAAGAAAGCCTGCGGTTCCACTGTGCACCCCATTAGCTCCAGAGACAGTTCTCCTTTTCTAGCCTTTTGTAGCCTCACTGCTACATTATATATGCAAAAGACAATAATTATCCAAGGAAGAAGAGAGACAGATTTTCAAATTATTTATTGAAGCTTTTTCCTTGCCATAAACCTTCCAGGCATTTACCTATCGCTAGTAATAAAAAGCTTCATTAGGTTACTATTATGAAGCAGTGCTGCTAACCATCTGGATCCAAACTGTGAATGTTGCTCTGCTGTCATTTAGAAACAATGGTAAAAATTTACCAGTCCCACAAGCAAAAAAATCTTGTGTTTTCTTTCAGTACATGGGCTTGTTATTTGTCTCTTGTTCTTAAAGGCTCGGAAGAAAGGTTAAAATGTTAGATATTCAAGCTTCTATTTTCTCCAGAATGACAGTCACCCAGGGCTATGATTAATCTAGTCTAATATAATACTAATTTTATTCTACTTCTTTCTGCTGAATAGTGTGTAATTTATCTACTGGCTTTATGGTAGCTCTGATGATATTAAAAACACTCATGATGATTAATGTTTTTTTTTAAATCTTTTCATTTCCTTCCAGTTATGTATAAAAAAAACGACCCTGACACAATAGAGAGGAAAATGAATTACATTCAAGCAAGCAATATGGCTTTCATTTGGTGTGGTTATAATGGAACATATCA